CGCTCGGTCCGCGGGGCGTTGGCGCGCCGCGCGCGCTCCGGGCTGCGCCCTGGTTCGGTGCTCGGGAGCCGCCGGCTGCCGGGAGAGGCCGACGTCAAGTTAACGGGCGAAGAACGGTAGTTACGGTAGGTTCGTGTCGTGTCGACCGGCGGCGACCCCGCCAGCGGCGTTCAACTTTGAACGCCGCGGGCGACCCAGAGTCGTTCGACGTGGAGCGATTTGGACGTTTCGGAAACGGCCGATCGTTCAAGGTTGAAGGATCCCCGCGGTGTCAGAAACCAACGCCGGGGCCGGCACGACACGAACCTGCCGTATAACATATTTTTTTTCGCTGTCGGGGGCGCCTGTCCCTGGGCGGCTGGACAGTTTATACCCTTACGGTGGCACCGTAGGGGTGTAAACTGTCCAGTCGCCCAGGGACAGGCGCCCCCGACAGCGAAAAAGTTTATTTTATACCGTTCTTCACCCGCTGATCAAGGCCCGGGCACAGGCCTCTCGCGGGCCCCTGCAGGCAGGGGCGGGCGGCTCTGAACAACTGCAAGTTCGGCATGCACGGCCCCATCGAGGCGGCCTTGCGGGGGACGCGGGGGCGGCCTCCCGTCAGGAAGCCAATTCTCGGGTTGGGAGGACGGGGTTGGGAGAGGTGATCAGCTCGTCAGCATTATCGCGAATGTCGAATATGCTGATTACGCAGACGTTCCCCTGCATCTTCCCAACGCCTTCCTCCCGACACGATACTTGTCATTCTCATCCCAGTAGGCTGTGCGGGGTGGTGGGGGAGAGGGCTGGGAGGGGGGTGTCGCTGTGAAGGGGGGCGCGTCCTGGGTCTTCGTGCTGCTTCTCGCCTCCCAGGGCCCTCCAAGGGCCCCGGGAACGGTTCAGGAGAGCTTGTGGTTTCGGATGGTCCTGGGGGCCAGGACCCATCTCCCTCAGGGCCCATTTCCTTCATTCCAAGGGTTGGGAGGGGACAGGAGGGCTGGAGTGGGCGAGGGGGTAGGGGTGGGGGGTCGAGACACCTGCAAGAGCGCTGTCTGTCGCTGCTGGCAGGGGAGGTTCAACCCGTCACAGTGGCGCGCATCCGTTTTGCATGTTTGCAGCAGTTTCATTGGTGAAGTCGGTTCTTTGTTCCTAAGGTGGCTCTCGCCTCAGCGCTGCGCCCATTCGTTTTGAAAGTTTGCAGCAGTTTCAAATATTCGCATGGTCGACGTCCCAGGAATAATGATCTGGCAAGATCTAGGATGGTCAGAACGGAATTGTCATGTTGATCCAGGAATTGTGTTTTGGCGCGTATGAAGAGGGAACTTGGAGGGAGGGTTTATTGCAACATCTCTGTTGCGTCTTAGGTTTGCACTTGTCCTCCTTCTCCTCCTCCTCCTCTTCCTCCTCCCCCCCGCCAGCGGGAACGTGCCGCAGGTCTTCTCGAGAAACGCGATTGGCGCCTTCCAGGCTGCCAGAGATCAGTGCACAGCCCACTTCGAGCAGATGTGCCAGGGCGACTGCAAGTGGGGCGAGGACGCCCAGGGGATGCTCCGAGCGGCGGAGGAGGAGGAGGAGGAGGAGGAGGAGGAGGTCGGAGGAGGAGGAGGAGGACGGCGGAGGAGGAGGAGGAGGAAAGAGATGATGAGGAAGAGCATGAAACGGAGGATGGAGGGATGGATGGATGGAGGGAGGGAGGGAGGGAGGGAGGGAGGGAGGGATGGGGAGGAGGAGGAGGATGAGGAGGAGGCGGAGGAGGAGGAGGAGGAGGAGGAGGAGGAGGGGGAGGAGGTGGAGACTCAAACCGAGAGCGAGCTGTCGAGTATATCCGATAGCGCGCCTTTCAAAGGAATATTGAACCCGACGGCTCGTATACCAACCGCCACACTGTGAGAGGTGCACTTGTGGTACAGACAGAGAGGAAGGGCCCACCACGGATCACCCTCGGCGCATGTAAGCAGTGGCGCACACCAGGGGCCGTGGCAGGCCAGATGGCCTAAAGGGACCGAGGCGTTCAAGCGCAAGTGCTTGGCAAGGCTGATGGCGAGCTCTGTGACGCGCTCCAGCACGTTGCTGTCCGAGGGGCTCAGGGCATGGCCGAGCTTCACGCCAGCACCGACGAGGGCGCACGGGTTGCCAGGGGCCGTGCCCAGCCGCGCGGTCACCTTGTCCACCTGCACCTTCAGGTCAGCATCCACTCGTGGGGCCTGCCCGCGGACGCCACGACCACCGACCGCTGCATGGGCACCCTGCTCCGACACTGGGCCCGGGCCCGCCACGCCGGCAGCGCCTCCGCCACGATCACGAAGGCCGCCCCGAAGAGGCACAGCATCGCGAGGCCGAGGCTGGGCCACCACAGGCAGATCTTCCGCTCAGGAGTCGTCGGGCAGCTCGTCGGCGCTGCACTTCCCGTTCCCCCCCATCATCGCAGGAGCCTCCACGTTAGCACCTGCCTTGCCGCGCCTCGCGCGACGGCGGCGCTGCCTGGGCGCCGCCGCTGGGGCAGCAGGCTGTGCTGCGGGGG